TCAAAAACACCTTTCCTCCACCAAGAAACAGGACAAACTGATAATAAATCATAAATATCTGCACTATTTATCCTAAAATTCATGCCCCTGGAATTCCTGCATGGCCTCAAGGGTTTGCCTACTGCAGCGTGGGAGAAAGTGAAAGAAATGTTCTCCCTTCTCCTTCAAATCATGAAATAACCCCTTCCTTCCTGTGCATCAATTAGAGATTAGGGATTAGGAACCCCTCTTTAAAGAGTCTCAAAAAAATAAAACTCACTTTTTTTCCGTAGAGGAAGATAGGAACAAAACTGAATGTATCCCCTAGTTATATAGGACGGGACAGGAACAGTTGTAGCCACTCCCCCCCAATATTTCATCCAAAAATTTTTTTTCTTCTGTGCTGTCCCCAAAACCTCCCTAAGTCGAAACCTCCCTAAGTCGAATTTTTTCCCTGGTCCCTTGAAATTCGACTTAGAGAGGTTCAACTGTACCACGAATGTTCCTTAGCGTTTACGTTGAAGGACGTAAAAGTTCTGTTCTCGTTAAATTGACCCTTTCCTTGTTTCACCTCGTCTCCAATCTGAATCTTTGTATTGTGGGTCATGTATTGATTGGTTCCCGCAAACGTACAGGGGAGTGTTCCGGGAGTAATTTTCTGTGATTAAGACCATACCACGACATGTATGAACCTACGTTCTACCAACGGTGTGGTTTTGCAGGTGTTCAAAAAGTGCTGGTTGTGACTTGGAAAGCCGAAGCACCGCTTGCGGGAAGTATCAGGATCCGACAATTTCAAAGCCGGGTTGAAACCGAGTACTTGGGAGTGAGCGAGTCCTGCCACAAAGTTGACGGTAAATTCAGTTCTTGATCTCCACAGTCATGCCTCTAGCAATGCATTCATTCTAGAGATCAATTAACGAAGTGTTTATCGAGGTTGAGATGACTTTTCAGGCTTCAGGGTATCATCGAACAAGAAATTAAAGTATTGTAGTGTTCATCCCCAGCAAATAATTTTTAAGTTTTTCATGAGTAAAAAACCCATGAAAAACTGTCATCTGTAACATCACAGGTGATGGTCCCTCAAACCATCAATAATGGGTTACAGGACAGTTATTTTCATGGGTTAATAGGGCATAAAAGTAATGGGAGGAATTGGCATTAAAATAATGGGTATATAATGGGCTGGTTGAGGGGGTTATTTTAATGGGTATTTCACCCATTCTTAATCCATCATGAAAAATGGTCAAAAATTAAAAAAAACACACAAAATGGTGAATATTGGCATGCAAATATCCACCATTTTGTGCTTTATAACAAAGGCATTTTTGCACCCACAGGATTTTTGAACAGCAGAATTTTTTTAACCACAGGATTCAAAAATCCAGTCAACAGAAACTGTGCCATNTATAACAAAGGCATTTTTGCACCCACAGGATTTTTGAACAGCAGAATTTTTTTAACCACAGGATTCAAAAATCCAGTCAACAGAAACTGTGCCATACAAAAATTGAGAGGGTACAAAAAATTACACTGGTATGGAATTTTTTTCAACTGTGGGATTTGCTGATGGAGCCCTGTGGTGAAAACTGTGTCAAAGAATGTGCATAATGTTAGACATAGTTGTAAACACAAGGCTCCACTGGAAATCCTCTGGTTACAAGAATCTGTTGATCAGCAAAATTTTGCTCCACAAAAATCCTGCCAGTGCAACACTTTTTCCATTTGAAAAATCAGTGTCAGATTGATCATCAAAATGAACTCAAAGAATGCTGTCTGTAGAAAAATATTGCTCCACATGTTGGACATGTGGCTGAAAATATTTTCTACAGACAGAATTTTTCACCTATACAACATGATTCTTTGAGTTCATTTTGATGATCAATCTGAGACTGATTTTTTAAATGAAGAAATTGTTGTACTGGCAGGATTTTTGTGGAGCAAAATTTTGCTGACCAGCAGATTTTTGTAACCAGGGTATTTTCCAGTAGAGCCTTGTGTTTACAACTATGTCTAACATTATGCACATTCTTTGACACAGTTTTTGCCACAGGGCTACATCAGCAAATCCCACAGGTAGAAAAAATTCCATACCAGTGTAATTTTTTTTTATCCTCTGGATTTTTGTATGGTAGAGTATCTGTTGACTGGATTTTTGAATCCTGTGGGTTTTTTTTAAGACGACATGTTTTTAGGACACCCACGTTTTTACGGAAACAATATTACGTGTTTTACCGTCTATAAACGTACGGTTATAGGTGGTAAAGGACACAAAAAAAAATTAAAACCTGGTAAAATTGTGATGCATAAAATATTTTTCTACAGACAGCATTTTTCACCTAGTTATACATTAGTAAGGACCTCAAGTACATGGGGTCAGTCAAAATAGTGTCGGACCTAATAGTGTCAGATACCACGGTACAAATAGTGTCGGACCTGAGTCGTCCTCGACACGTAGGGACTACCACTATTGAAGTATTCAGCTCAGCATCAGAATATGTAATATTCAGGTGAATATAGATGAATATTTAATAATAAATACCTACACCTGTAATATACTGGGTGTGGCTTGGCTGTATTTGTTATCCACATTGGTTTTTGCATGGCATGGCTGTACAGTTGTGCAGCCACACCATGTAAAAACTTTTAGAAAATCAATTGAGATTTTGCAAAAGTTTTTGCATGGTATGGCTGCACAATTTTACAGCCATGGCATGCAACAACAAATGTGGATAACCAATACAGCCAAGCCACACACAGTATATTACAGGTGTAGGTAATTATTTATACATATTCATCTAATTTCACTGGAAATACTTCAGCTCACCATTGGACACAAAGCTGCCAGAGTCCAGGCTCTTGAAGAGATTTCACAATCATTTTCTCTCCATGTCAGAGACCAAATCACAAGCACAACCAACCTCACAGAAATCAGGCAGCCAACTGACAATTTTTCTTGATGTCTGAGACTGTTGGCCTTGATAAGTTTCCACATGGATGAGTCTTCTGGGTAGCCTGATGGATGGCCTTGATCTGATTTTTACAGCTCAACAATTTCTCCCTGTTTATCTCAAGGAAATCTGTGCTGTGATGCCTTAGTAATGCATTTATAATGGGTGAGGTTTCCTGAAGGGCTCAAAAAATTCAAAATTCAGAGTAGGGTTAACTTTTGATGCCAAAATAACTGGGATTTTACCCCTTCTCCTGCAGGGCATTATGGAACTGTCTCCATGATGCCAAAATAACTGGGATTTTACGCCTTCTCCTGCAGGGCATTATGGAACTGTCCTCATGATGCCAAAATAACTGGGATTTTACCCCTTCTCCTGAAGGGCATTAAGGAACTGTCCCCATGATGCCAAAATAACTGGGATTTTACCCCTTTCTCCTGCAGGGCATTATGGAACTGTCCACCCATGATGGATCATGGGTGATTCACCCATCACATCACCCATGATACATCATGGACTCCAATTGTAATGCCTGAGTATTTGCTGGGTAAGTTTGTAAACCAATACTGTCATACTGTACTTCCAGGTATTGTATATGTCACCAGAATGGGGAAATTGGTGCACACTGGGGATGTGTCTGTATTTCTACACAGTGACCCTCCTGTGCACCTGAAGTGTACCAAAGTTTTATATTCCTAATGTGCACCAATTGTGTGTTCACACCAGGGTTACTCAGGCTCACATTTGTAATAAATAAGCTACACCAAGGTTACAGTTGGTGCATGTTTGTGATACTCCTGTTATGTCACATTTGTGCACCAAATGTAGCCCTGGAATGGTAGCAAAATTTCATTGACAGAGGTGGATGCTTGTAACCCCAGAATAGCCCATGTAAACCAATTGTGACCCCAGTGTGCACCAGTTGTGGGGTTACACAAAGAATAGCTCCCCACTTCGGGCAGTCATAACTGAAAGCATTTAATCAAGTTCCACCTGCGCCTCTTTACTTTTCAATTCTAAGAAGGAAATCCAGGGTGCACATATCGGTGTAAAGCTGGTTTAATTTTTTCAATATTTTCAAACCTATACAGTTGTGTAGGTCAGGGCTTTTCAACCTTCTATAGCAGTGTTTCCCATCAACCGGCGATCTGCTGACTGGCAGTAACTGGCACTGGTCTGCCAAAGTTTCTCACTGGTCCACAGGAATTTTTCTGCAGCAAAATGAAAATGTCAGAAGTAGCACAAAGTCTTGAAGACATTTTAAAAGTTTCCATTACTCCTTTTTGCACCACAAAAGGTCGCCAACGCAGAAACGGTTGCAGCTGTCGGAAAAGGACAAAAATCCCGAGTTCCACACCAGCAAAGAATCCTCATCTTCCTTCGCATCGTCTTCAACGTCGTCGGTCGAGCTTATGATGGGCGGCGTTCGTGGCGATGGTGGTAATGGCGGCGACGCGTTCAGCAGTGCTGTGCAAGATCACGACTCCTCTTCCGCCTTGCTCATCACGGACCTCTGTCACCAGCTGCCTGTCATCAGCAAGACGCTGTTGGAACGCTACCTAGAGGGCCTCGACTACACCGGCAACAAATGCATGATGTCTGCGTCCCAGTCTGCGAGGACCAGTCGCGACATCTCGGAGGAGCCGGTGGAAAGTGGCTACCAGACTGACATGAACAACTCGCCCGACTTCGTCAAGCATCATCATTATCATGACGGATCGTCTTTGGGAATGAGACACGACACGCCGGATTCGTCGGTCGGGGGTGCTGAAGGAGTTATGAGTCACTTCCGACCGGAAGATGAAGATGACACAATGAGCAGGAACCATGTAATCGACAGAAACATGCTGAATATTGGGGCTAATCATCGGCATCGACCCGATTTGAACGTTGCTGACAACGGTTTGGACTGTTCTGCTCCATCATCATCAGTGGCGAAAACCTTGCTGAATAAGAGGAACCATAATGGAAAAGGCGGATGCCATCAACGGCGTTTCGAGAGTGGAACTGGTGCTGCTGACGATGAAGTTATTGACGATGACGGACACTCGATTGCGACTCAGGGCTGCAATGTCTATGAAACCCATTATATTCACGATGATCCCTTGAATGGAGTGCTTGTTGGACGAGATGGGAAACCAACTTCGCATGCGGGTATGTCTGATGTATATATATACACTGTACATTTGCAGTTTGCTGTGAATTTCAACAAATGTGTACAGTTATACTGATGCCCTCCTCCGATCCTCGCTCGAATGCTGATGAGAGACCGCGCTGATTTTTACCAGCAAGCTATTTTTTTTCCCTTGCATATCCTTGTAACTCCTAGAAACATTTATTGGGTGGAAGTCAGTCACCACTCGGATATTGAAAACTATGAAGGTACATGCAGTATTTCAATGAGTGACGGAGTCCTCAAATCAAGAATATTTTTCACGATTTTCAATTCAATTGATATTCCGAGGAACATTAGAAAGAGCACTGTATCCTGTGGAATGCTAATAAATAGTAAGTGTATAGAAATAATTTGATTAATTCCCAGAAAAAAATTCCAAACTTTTTTCTCAAGTCCGGTGAAGCACGCATTCATCCCATGCAAGTTGAATTCTGTCGAGGATAAGTTTTTCATGCCTACTGTATATCATAAAAATTTCGAAAAAAGAATATTCCAATGTATTTTTATTCATTTATTCATTTTATTTTCATTTACGGGAAAAAATTAGGTTGGTTGTTGGTTCTAAATGTAAAAGCATGTGCGACCTGAAGCTATTAGTCCATTTCAGCAATCCCTGGGAGAAATCTGATCATCCGAAGTGACTTACATATAGAACTAAATTCTGAGGTAAATACTGTGATGGGAAAAATTTTCTGTGCGCGGAAAATTTTTAAAAAAACAGTGTAAAAAATCAATTCAATGCGGAATGTGAGGCCATCATGTGCATGGCCATGAAATGCATGCAAGAATACATTTACACCCAAATGATTATGTGGACCAAATTTCACTTACGATTGATTGCTTGATTGATATCCAAGCTTCATTTCCACTTGTCAGTGTTCACGAGGTTGAAAAAATGTTTCCCATGCCCCCACCCCTCCCCCCAAATCCATTTGACTTTCTGACTATGAAAAATAATTCCCTACTCACATGAAAAAATTAATTACCGAAAAAACAAATGCATTCCTAATGCATTGAAATCATTTTCGCAGCACTGGATGCATTTGCATGGAATGTCTATGCAGAGGTGGGCCAAAAATGTGTTCCAATTTTTGACTCAGAGTAGCTTGGTAGTAAATTGAGCTGTAGGAACAACAAGAAGCACCAAATGAAAGCTTTTTTTATTCCCATTAAAATTCATTGTAGTTTAGTAGGGGGAAACCATGGTCTCCAGTGCCAAAAATGATGGTCACAAGTCACAACTCACAAGAACCATTTGAATGCAAATGTTCCAAAAAAATGGGGTCAGGCAATCTGTTACAGTACACTGCTGTTCTCCAGAACTCTGTTTTTCATAGAGATAAATGGAGTGTAAAACTAGTAATTTTTCAGCAAGCTCCACACTGCCTCCAAGAGGGTGTGCACATCCCCAAAATTTAGGAGGTTGTGGTGAGAAGTTCAAAAAATTATATCTTTAAATTTGCTGTGAGATGTGCCATTCTCTTGGACCCTGTGACCCCCTATATGCAAATATGTCTGCAATGACTTGATTGCTTAACCCTTGGGCGGCAGCAAGTAGATTTCCATCAGGTAGTGGAGCTAGGATATTTTTGCAGGCCTTCAACTTTCAGTTTGATTGAAGGTCACTGAAAGGCAGCCTTGGCTGGATAGCCAAAGGTGGGAAAACATTGGGGGAAGTTCAAGCTATTGTTAATTTTACACTTTCAATATTAATCCTTTAGCAGGAATAAATGCGGGAAAAAAATGCTACCAGCAGGGCATTTTTTATTTTGCAGCAAAATGTTTCTGTGGAAAGAAAAGAAAGTGGGGGTTTTTCCATATATTAGCTCTCCTGATCTGAGCAAGATTTATCTTCCTTTTCTGCTGCATGGCACCAAATTTTTCAAATTTACCCTGGCTTCATTGCTGAAGGGTTAAAATCAGCTTCAATCACAAATCACAATGATCAGGGGGGGGGGGGTGTGTGCTCAACACATCCAACAAGGTGCATTTTCATTGGTAGAAGTAAAATTTTATTTTCATTTCAATGACATTGTGTTTTTTTATGATTTCTGCTTGTGATGATCAAGAAATTTGGTACTTGTGGAAAATTGACGCAAGATGACAAAATGTGTTCAAAACCCTGAGTATGAATGCAAAACATATTTTGTTATAAAGAATTTTCATCAGGTGTATATAGGAGTTCTTCGTACAATAATAAGAATTTTTTTTACAAAATATGAAGTTTTGTGTTCAGTTATATTTTATTTGTACCTAGAAAATGGACAACTTGTCATCTTAAATTTTGAAGCACAAAAATAGCTCTAGACTTCTAGAGTATCTCAAACATTTTTTACATTTTATAGAACATTCAGTGAAATAGTGCGTGAACATCGGATTTTTGCGTGACATTCGATTTCCTAAAGAATTGTCTGGCCGAAATATATTCTTGGTCAATGCTGAACATAGTCCAATTTCTCGCTGACCCAGGAAAAAAACTTGCATCAGCCAAAGTTTTGCCTAAGAATTATATTCAGTTCTCCTCTTAATAAGAATGCAGCAGATGAGTACAATAAAAAATTCTGCCACTTGCTCCTGCATCCAAATACAAAATTGTCCTGCAATTGAGGGATTTTTGAATGCAATTGCTGACTGATTAAATTTACACTGTTGGCAAGTTTCCATCTATAAGCTGTTTTCCCCAACCTTTTTGACCCTGCAGGACAGCAGATTTCCCGAAAATGTTCTGCTGACAGGTCAATTTTGTAAATTTTTTGCAGATTCAAAACAAGTTTTGCTTGGAAGACTTCATATGGTAGGGTTCAAAAAGTTTCTGGTTTTTTTCCCTCTAAGAACTGCAGGATAAAGCAACAATAACATGGAGTGTCTTCAAAAGACAGAAAGGCTGACTTGAAGAAAAGTTTCCCAGAATGAAAAAAAAATTATTTCAACAGGTTAAAAATTGTCTGAAGTGTTATTACAGTATGCAGAAAGCCAACATTTATTCTTCCTTCAGATAATTTCAACTGCCTTTGCCTTTCCAACATTTCAGACAACAATGAAAAACTGCATTGCTACTTTTGTTAATTTATAGTGCTGTAGAAAATGCCCATTGACCAGCAAAACATTTCTGAGGACTATACCAGTTGGGGAACATTGATCTATGCCAGGGCTTTTCAACCTTTTTGAAGCGCGTACCCCTTTTCATCCTCTGGAATAGTCAGGTACCCCCACCAGCCACCACTAACTTAAAATGTGTGTTCAAATCATGTAATTAACCATATTTTCTAATATTTCCTTGAAGCTTCCTAATTATACATTAAAACAAAATTTACTCCATCAAATCTCTCTTGTATTTCACCTTTATTGATGAAGATGATGCATCAGGTAAACAATGTATGTCAAATATGGAAATTTAGTGACTGCTGAAGTTTTGAANAAAAACCATGGTGTTTGTAATTAAAGTTTTAAAACTTAGTTTGGTTGAATATTGAATGTTTAGCAAATTGTTGAGCTTCAAGAAATGGGACACAAAAATGTGAAAAATTCTCTTTAGCTCACTATAGTTTCTTTAAAATTTGCTCTATTTCATAATTTTTTGCAGGGCTAGATGCGCATTACAGGTGTACAGATTTAGAAATTTTTGAATCAGGACAAATTTTGTGAAATAAATTAGTTGAAAATTAAAATTTAAACCAATTTTTCCCAATTTTGGCTTGATTTTCAAAAATGTTTTGCATTTGTCATGATATCTCACTAAATTTTGAAGATTTTTCAGAATTTCAAAAAAGGAAATTTAGAGAACATCTGTGTGCCTTCAAAATTTGAAGAAATTTGAAAATTAAATCAAAATTCAATTCTCAACAAATTTTCAAAGTTTGGACAACAGGAAACGTGACCCTGGTGCATGCCTCTCTGGGGCTCTGGGGAGGGAGGTAAGGGGCAGGAAGCAAGGGAGGGCCGGCGCAAATTAAAAAAAAGTGTGAACCTAGGATGGCAAGCAGACACTCAAGCAATTTTCACCTCCACCCTTCTGGTCAAAAGAACACAGGTTTTTTTTTTCACCAGGCAGTGGTTGGCGTACCCCCTGGCAAGCACTCGTGTACCCCTTGGGGTACGCATACCACTGGTTGAAAAGCCCTGATCTATGCTACGGCATCTCAATGAAAAATGGTGGCTTAGAATTTTGACTACCTTGAAAAATTTTAAAAATGAAGTACAAGTGAGACCCCCACATGTGCATGGAGACCTTGACCTGCAGACAATTTGACATGTGGCACTTATTTTACCATTAAAAAATCACAAAAAAGTCCGGATATGAGGACAGTGACTCAACATAGGGACATTTTGCGATAAAATTGCAAATAAATTTCAAGCAAATTTACATGAAACAGATGTTTCAAACCCTAAAATTGATGTAAGAAAAGTTCTTGGGCATTTCTCTCACCAATTTACCATCTATTTAGCTAATTTAAAATAATTACCTCCAGCATATACAGAGAGATTTCCTTCTCCCTTTTTCACTTGAGTTTTATTATTTTTACAGAAAATGCCAACACACTGACAGATGAGGTATCAGTATTCAATTCCCAAAATGTTCATATTGTGTTGAAATACATTGATTGAAGCAGTTTAAGTTGGGAGACAATTTTTATTTTCATGGAATTAGGGTGAGTATTTTGTACAGGGAACACCAATTAAAAATTATATAATGTAAGTCAAAGGGAAAATGAGACTCAACTTAGGGACATTTCAACTTAGGGACACTCTTGATGCACCAATTATGTCCACATCTCGGGGTCTCACTGTATAACTATTTTTCTCTTTCATAAAGATTATGCAAACACATGCTGGCATTTGTCAAAAACAGAAAAGCAAAACCTTTGCGGTGTGCTAGAGAATAGTTTTTTTTCTGATCTGGACTGAAAGCAAAGTTTGTTTGGAACGAAAAAACACTTGCACAGCGATTAATAAAAAGAGACACATAATATGACTGTGAACAACTTCAATGCGCTTATTCTCGAGGACAGCTGGCAACTTTTGCTGGACAGCTTCCAACATCTTCAAACATTTTTCGTATTACGAAAGGGAAAGCAATTCCTGAAAAATTACGCTGTAGTTTCCATGAAATGTATAGTTTGAGAATACAGCATGTCCCATAGAATAATTTAGAGAGGACATTATTATAAATCATGTAATAGGATCGTGCCATACTGATGACATGACATATGGATGATTTGATGGACTTCACATGGCTTGAAGCTATGTAAATGCCTGCACATCCTCATCTGACACATCCTTACATTGTCTCAAGTTACGGACACTTCTAAAATTTCTAAAACGATTGAAGCATATTTTAAAAAGTCCTGAACAAATTGAGCCGTGGTAACTGAGTTTTGAAAAAATGTACAAGTAAATTTTGCTATAAGATTACTCCAATAATTTGTGATCAAAATAAGCCAATTGTGTGCTTTTCTTCAGAGTTGTTTTCATCATGTGTGGATGCACAGTATAGCTAAACTCAATATGCTATTTACTTGTTGAGCTCATACTCTTGATGCCATAAAAGAGCAGATTCTGTCTTGTTTTCTTCTGGATAATTATGTTCAATATCTTGAAGTTGACAAACATGTTATTCAATATTTTGAGAACTTCATTCCCAATTTTTAAACCGCAGAACAAATTGAACTGGTTCGCCTTGAAGTGTATGGGAAAATATAATATGACAGCACATGTATGGCTCAATGTAGGGACCAGGTCCAAGTACCTATTTCATCCTCATCTTATTGGGGCCCAACTGTATCTTATACACTTGCAAAATACTGTCCAAACAAAAGTCACCATTATAATCTAGGTACAGAAATTTCAATGCAGAAAAATATGCTTTCAACATCAAACTATTTTTGGCAGTCCCTATGCCCATGCATAATAGCCAGAGTGTCACAAGAAATTTGTCCTAATTAGGTCATGAAAAATATTATTTTCAGGCCCTGCATTGGATTTGTGGAAACATATTTTTTCTGCTGTGTTCCATGATTTTTCACAGCAAGCCCATCATCATCATCATCATCATCATCAGTATAACAGCATTTATTTTGTATATTGCAGGGAATAAACGCCGCTTGGAAATGGCCAAGGAAGCCACCATCATCACCAGCAGGAATGGAACAGCAGTGGACCCTACAGTTAGCCACTCGGAAACCACCCAAAACCTGCAGGACCCCCAACAGGCAATGGAGGAACTAAAGGCCATCGCCATGCAAGGCCTAGCAACAGACTCCCTGGACTGGGACCTGGTGCGCACCAAGTTGCACTGCCTCGCGGCCATAACCAGCACCGACACCTACCCGGAGATTGCGGAAAAACCCACGACGCCGATCGTCGTGTTGCTCCAGGGGCGTCGCGCCGTGTTCCCCTGCGGCGCTGCGCGGTCCGTGCTCCTCGGCGACTCCTCTTTCACGCTCATCGACGAATCCGGTGTCCGGTTCTTTCCCGCCCGGAAATCCGTCGTCACTCGCCGAATGGCGGAATTGATTGCGACGGAAGAAGAAGAAGAAGAAGGTGGTCGTGATGGGATGAGAGGCTGTCGCCGGCAGATGACGCCGCACCACGGCCTGCGAGGCGATGACCATGTGCAGAAACAGCATCAGGAACAAGAACGCGAGAAGAAAGCACCCCGTGCCAAGTATCCAGAGATCCGCGCTTTCCTTGCTCGCCAACGCGCCCAACACCTGCGTCGGACATGACATGACATGACCTCTGACGTGTGCATGTATATGCATGCTTGATGTGACTCACCGGCCCACCACGACCTTGCCTCGTCGCCTGTCGCGCGAATGTTCTCGGCGGTTTTCGTTATTTTTCAAAAAAGCTTTGTATCATGCTCGTGTCTTTTCCGGCCAGTCGCTGTACTCGCTGATTATGATGGGCAGCCGCAAAGAAGTCCCATGAACCCCCAAAACCTCCACACCTCTGATGTAATTCGTCTGAATAAGGAGCCTTTTTATAAAACGCGGGCGCCTCTCACCTCTATATAAGATGGGCGATGTTGGTGCATGGTGGTGGGAAGAGTGAACTTGCCAGCGTGACAGTGGTGGATTAATCATCCTGGCTGAAAGGGGTGGGCATTGTCTCTCTCATCAACTGCTATTCAAAACCTGTACATGAATTGGGATTGTTGGGAAGAGATGAATAAAGAATTATTTTTTTGAATTTCTATGTTTTTCTTATATAAGGTTTAAGTTCCTGAAGAAGGTCCTGCAGTTACCATATATGAGGGTTCTAACAAAAGTTCTCAGAGTAGCAATGAAAATGGCCTACAGTTGAGCTGAAATTTTTTTTTCTTTAGGGAAAACATATCCTTTGGCACAAAAAAAATATCAGCCCTGTTTCACAAGTTTTTTGAATTTTTTTCATAATTCACCCTGGCAGAGTTTTGTTCTCCACTCAAAAGATGATGCACCCTTTTTTTGTTGTAGCCCAGCTTTCCCCTCAGAATTTTTCATCTGGAGGCAACCCTTATAGAAAGCATGCCAAGTTGATTTCAAAAATTCTGAGGGGAAAGCTGGGCTACAACATAAAAGGGCGCCTCATCTTTTGAGTGGAGAGCAAAACTCTGCCTGGGTGAATTATGAAAAAAATGCAAAAAAATTGTGAAATGGGGCTGATATTTTTGTGTGCCAAAGAATATGTTATCCCTAAAGAAAAAAAAAATGTCAGCTCAACTGTAGGCCATTTTCATTGCTACTCTGAGAACTTTTGTTAGAACCCTTGTACTGTATGTGGATCGACACCCTGACCTATATGGATGAGGGTTTCAAACTCAGAAAATCTGCCAGAACCCCAATCCAGAGCAATATTCCTCACCCTGTGGCCTGCAGACCAGCACTGGTCCACAGAAGGTCTTTGCTTGTCTGCAGGAAATTTTCTTCAGCATAATTAATTCATCAAAAATAGCAATGAAGTCTGCTATCTTTCTTTAATTTTGGAAAAAATGGCAGTTGAAATTACTGTCTGTATCTGATGAAAAATCAAAGTTTCCTCTTCTCCTAATAGCACTTGAGAAACATTTTTACCTGCTAAAATAAATTATATGTACTAGTTTTTCACACTGATGAACCTTTCTTCAAGCATATTTGAATTTTTTTGGAAAGTACGTATTCCACTTCAGCTGCATCATTGGTTCTTAACTTAATTATTGCAAATGTGCAAAACTTTTCAAAAATCTGCCATAAAGTATTTAAAAATCAAATGGGTTGAGTGTCCATACAACTCAAACTTTGCCAGTCAGCAGAAAATGTTGGAGATTTGCCAGTCTGAAAAAAAAAATTCCAGAAAATGTGCCAGTCCACAGGCTTAAAAAGGTGGGCAAACGCTGGTCTAGAAAATATCTGAAGAATGTTAATAAGATGTGCACAATTTACTGAAACTTTCAGGCATCATGGTTTCATCATCTTTGTATTTTTGTTAATTTATAGAATTTCAAAAAACTCCTTTCATTGGAGAAAGTAATATGCACTAGAAAACTGAGTAATAAAAATATCTCCACTGAAAACCAATGTTGAAGTTGGTAAAAAAGTCTGATACTTCTTCATCTACCTGCAGAAATTGTTTGCTGAAAATGCAAGAATTTCCTCACAGATTGGTGGTTTTTTTCTGCATACCAAGCATAGGATTAACAATGAATATTGAAAAAAACATTAAGATATGCTTACCCCAGATTTTTTATTCCCAACTTTTGCATTTGTAATACAGGTGCATTCTGTTGACCTTTTGCATATGGTTAAACAGAAACACAACAGTTTGTGAAAAATCCTGACTTTGTTGTGGGATGGAGAGGAATCTGCTGTCATCTGATGGTCTTACTATATTGAATGCTCATTGCCTATACACTCCATGTTACCCTGTAACTGTGCAATTGCAAGAAGTATTGTTTCAAACTTATCTTTTGACCTAGGTGATTACATTTATTGGAATCATGCTGTTGATAATGAACAGAAGCACAGTAATGTATCCTATAATACTGCATATATATGCATGTAATTTGTTCTCACATGAAAATATAGGAATCAGAACTAAGAGCCCAAAAATTGAAGACTTTTCTTCTTTGAAATATAACATTCAGGAAGGAAAAAAGGAAACTGTTTTCATCCCTGAGTCAAGCATTTTTTTGGCAAGAAACTCCAAAGTACTTTTTAAATCATTGTGTATTTTTCTCAAATAATTTTAATGGTCTAGAGAAAAGTGTTTTCAAATTTCTTTATTGACGTCAGCACTTGTCACATTATAATCTCCTGCCCCATATCATATCTTGGAGGGAAGAACGAAATGAATATTTCCAGTCTGCTAAATGACATTTCTTTCTCATTCTAGTCAAGACGTGCGTGTAAATGGCACAGGAAGGCGGGGAAGACGGATGAGGTCGACTGATGGGTAAAAAAGGGGGGTGATGAACCTGTGCTTGAAGATCATGGACGACCCAGGACGAACGAGGTCGACGACGAGGACGAGAGGATTTAGAAAAAAAAAGGATACGAAAAGGAAGTACAGTGTATTAGGAGAGACGCGACGAGACGAGGAAAAGATCGACCCTTGGACCGTATTTTTCCGAAGGTATTTTCAAAAATACCTGCTGTTCTGCTTTAGGAGATAATCCAATAAAAATGTAGAAATACAATATAATTCAAAATCACCCCTGTAACGATATAGTCATTGTGTTGCAAGTCTTGAAATTTCATGAGAGACTTTATGAGACTAATGTCAAGCAAAGTTGGAAGTTCACGCAGAGGAATTTCAACACGTTTTTATTAACTTGCTTTCTTGTCCATTTGTTTGTCTGGATCAAATTTTGAAACTCAAATTTTTGAGATTGTTGGGAAGAAGTGAAATACAAATGGAATAGATGTGCACCATGTTTAAGGTTATTTTTTGCTTTTTCAAAACGTGGTTTTTTAGATTAATTTTTTAATCTACTATAATTATTTGCATGTACTGTATTAGGGTTCCCCACTACAAACTTCTCTTGAGTGGATGGATCTGCATCAAATGTTGAATGCAGCAGGGCTCTCTGCTGTGTTCCTGAATGTTCTGTGCGTGTTTTTGTGTGTGTGCTTGAAATACTTGAAACTTGTACTGTACTGAATAGTTATTTATCATATTATTTGGGTAGTTCATCAGTGAAGAATCACCTGCAGTATTCCTTGGATATAGTCAATTTTATGGAACTAATTTGGGGTCTGTAACCATTTTGCATGCATCTTTGTGTGTAAAGTTGATTGACTGTCTTACAGAAAATCTTGTCTAAAATAATTTTCTTTTTTCATTTCTTCTTTTTTGATCATATGGGGGTTCTCTGCAGCCAGCAAAATTCAACTGACCAGAAAAATGAATTGTTGTAGGAAGACTTTGGTTGCTCAATTTTTTTATTGTTTCTTGTAGTATTTTGTAGAGTGAGTTCATCTGCCTTACCCATTATTTACTTGTTACAAATTTTAGACTATGAAATTCTCACTGTATGAGAGACGAATTGTGTTGTTAAATTTAATTTCATGAAGCCTGAAACCCAAATTTGATTGTTGTCCACCTATTTTAACTTTTCTTTAGACATCTTATGTGTTTTTAACCTCAATATAATGATGTCTTGATCTGGAACTTCCACATATAACTGTCTCACAACCTCAGATGCTGTTGATGTCATTCATTATGCTTGTTACAGTATTTTGAATACACAGATTGACTGCAATGTCATTGAATTTAATAAACTACAGTATATGCAAATCATAATGTACGGTGCTCAATTTAGACGCATAAGCCTTCACACCTCTCCATTGCTCTTATCATGTTAGAAGTATGTTATGCATATACAAGTGGTACCTTGCAATTTAACCCAAATCCATTGCTGGACTAAGGTAAAATTTCAAAGGGGTTGAATTGCATGACAGCATCATGTGCCATGTTTTCTGGATGGCATTTTACATTTCTTGTCTCTCCAGAGGTTGAATTGCATGGCAGAGGTCAAATTGAGATCAAACCTCTCAGCACATTTGACCATCAAATTGCATGACAGTCAAATTGCAAGAGGTTGAATTGGAAGGTACCACCTGCATTGTGAGAAACATTTTAATAATGCTTTGAGATGAGAGCATGTGGATCACCTCTTTGAGGCACCAAAGGTCTTTCATATTTAGCCTTGCAACTTGAGACTAATTGCTTTCCTTAATTATTAACGCATTCAGAAATGCATTCCAACAAGGTAGGTGAACTACATCTATGGTGAAATTAGAGCAAGGAGAACAATTTGTAGTAAACATAATTTTATTGCAGAGAAACACATGCTGGGACCAATTTTTTCTTCTTCAGCGTGATACATATATATGGGTGTTGTTGATGCTTAAAAAGTCCACCTGCAGTAAAGGTTGTTGGTTGTTTTTCAGGGAGGGGTATGGGCACAAAGGTATAGCAATACTTTTGGAATTCCCCTTCACACCCCCGAACACAGATGGCATTTGTTCGCATGCATGTGAGACCTGGCAAGGTCGAGGCTCAGACAGAAGGAAAAGAGGAGGAGGAGCAGATCCTCTCAGCTGAACTTGAACCCTTCTTCCAGCATTCCACACACTGACATTATTTCACAGGGCGCTGGCATTTTCAGACGCCCCCATGGGAGAGGCTTAAGGAGCTGAACCACCTGCTGATGATCACTGTTCTGTGAATGCACCTTTTTTCTTTTTGGCTTGAGAATAAGGCTGTTGGAGGGGGGTTTCTCTTGTGAAGTCTCCCAGTGAAAATGGCTGCTGTTATTTGACTGAAGTGGGAACATGGCTAACAAACACTCCTCTTAAAAAAAACGTGCCTCTTTTTATGCAGTTCCTGCAGAGGCTTACTTGCACTAACCAAGCTGGAGAATGTTGGTTAGGAGCAGAGAATAAAAATTCAAATTGATGGAGCATTGCAATTAGTCCAATTCTGTACTGTATAGAAATTAATCCACCTAAGAAACACAATGCGTGGAAATGGGGTTTAAAGTAATGGACAAGAGAACAAGAGTACATTAACTATAAAATTACTTCCTTTTCAATCTTTTTGAATGCTCATTGGATTGAAGCATGCTCTACAGTATTTTGTTTTTACTTTATTAGCATGTATCAAAGCTTCCCTATACCAAATAATTGTGTTCCAAGTTTGCTTGTAACATATCAGCTTTTACCCAAAAT